CTGGAGAAATGTCTCTAAGCAGTCCAGATGGAGTGGAATGAGATTCGGTTCACACAAATCAAGGGACTGGCCTTTAATAGGTCCACAGACAATTCATTCCTGTAACCCAGCTCCTACCAGTGAAAACAAGGCAGACTGTGTAGGGAGTGCACGCACATGGTGAGAAGATGTGAGGGACTCTCTTCTAATTGCCTCTACTTTGTCAGTGAAACAGGAAGCATCATCATCACTAAGGCCAAACATGTATGGGCTTGAGGGCGGAGGATAAGATGCCAGTGATTCATCTTGGAGGGTAAAGAGAGTAAGTTGACTAGTGAAATGGAGTAATATTTCTTAGAAACTCAAAAGCCCTGCTAGGAGTTATCACAAATTGAGATTTTTACACATGATTTTGTGTTTTCCTCTGGTTACAAAGTATGTTCATACTTGAATTTAAGCTAGGGGCAGGGGTAGGATTTAGGCTATGAATAAACAATGGAGAGTGAGGAGCAATGTGGTTGAAGGTACATTGAAGGGAGTGAGTAAAGTTACGAATCATGGACTTTACCTTAGAGAGGGAAGGAATTAAGGGACTGAGAAGAGAGCACAGGAGAGGGGAAGGCTATTAAGATCTGAATATTATAGGTCTTAAAGGAGCTGCAATCATAGACAGAGGAGATGAAATGATAAGATGGACAAAAATATAGGAAGGAAATGAAGTTATTTTCACCCTTCACAGAGGAGAATAAAATCAATTCAGTCTCTCAAAGATGAGAGTTAAACAAAGTCTTATAAGTGAAATACCACTTTCTCATTTATTTATGATAATATATCTATTTTCCAGAGTTGATGATTCCCAGAACTGGGATTGAGGAGTGGAGAACCTGTGGGGAGATGTCAGAGAACGGGGCTGGACAGTTAAAAACGCATCAAGTAGGAGAGTTAAAATTATCACTGAAAGACAGAGAGGCCTCACTAAATTGATGGTCAGTTGCACTCAGACCACGAGACTGACGAAAGCCCCAATCTAAGGCACGGGCCTGCATGTCAAAAGGAAAGAGAATGGCAGCACAAAGGTTCTAGACCATCTCCAGAGCTTGGAAACTCCTCTTCACCCCTTGGCTCTGACCCCACTTTCACATCATCTCTGCACTGGGTGTGGAGAAAGCAGGCAGCTTTGATATTGCTGGGTGCCCATTTTCTGCAGGGCCAGCTTCTCCACACTTGATCCTCTTGGATTGATTTAACAAATAAAGGACTCTGCTGAGGGTGAAAAATTCATGCATTCCCTTCCTATGTTTACATTCAAACCATTTGTGTTTCTGTCCATCCCATTTTATCATTTAATCTCTGTCTAGGATCTCAACTCCTTCAAGACCTACAATCTACTAATTTTAATACCCTTTAACTGTTCAGGACCCTCTTCTCGTTTCCTCAATTCCTTCCCTCTTTAGGGTAGAGTCTATGATCCATAACTTCATCCACTTCCTTCAATGCACCTTCAGTCACACTGCCCCTCACCTTCAATTGTTTTCTTGTGCTAACTCCCTACCCCCAAGTTTAAATCCAACTATCAACAGATTCACCAGCTGGAGAAAACACTAGTCTTCTGCACTGTTGACTGCTCCCTTATCTGTATTGAAAGACTCTGTTCCCTTACCTTCAGAGACATCCTATTTTTCTGCATTTCCTCTTTTCTTTCCAGGTTCCACTGGCTCTACTGATTCTCTTTTTTTTAAACATATATATTTTATATTTTCTTGAATTTTTTTATTTCAGTAGATTTAGGGGTTACAAATGTTTTTTGTTAACATGGATGTATTGTATAGTGGTGAAGTCAGGGCTTTTAGTGAACCCATCACCCTCTGCTACTTCTTTTAATGCTGATACTCCTTAGGATTCCATTTTCAGCATGCTATTTATTATGTTACATACATCCTTAGTAAATTTATATATGCTCATAGTTTTGATAGCCATATTTTTTGGTTACCATTCAGTAATATTTCTCATGAGCTGCATCTGATGTTTGCAGAATCTTATAATCAACATGAATGCCCTAGAGGCACTTCAGGCTCTCCACCTGTCCAAAACTGAATTCATGACCTTTCACTCAAGCACATGACTTTTTCTGAATTCTTATCCTTCTCCTTGTGGCACTGACTATGCCCAGTTTCTTACTTTCCCAATGTCCCTCCAATCAATTAGTCATCTTATTGATTTCATTCCCATTCGTATTATCATCTCCTCATTCCTGACTAGTCTTTGTTGATATCATCGCTTTAGGATCTTAAATAGTATTTATTCTTTTTGTCTTATTTCAATATGGCACTGCAGCCAGAGTGATCTCTCTAAAATGTATGATGTTATTCTTTCAAAGTCATACCAGCTTACCATAATATACTAGGCATTTCATCATTGGCCCTTTGCTTACTTATCCAGCCTTAATATCTCCTCCCACTTCTCTCCCTCACACTCTGAGCTCCTGACCATTTTAATCCACCAAGAGGACCATACTGCTTTTCCTTTCCAGGATTTCATATATTTTTTTGTCCGTTGTCTGGAATATCTTTCTTTCTTTACTCAGGTCTCTACTGAGCTAATCATTAATGTGATTTCAGGACTCAGTTTAGGTAGAATTTCCTCTGGAAAGCATTTCTAATGGCCTTAAATTGAATAAGAGGATTCCCCACCATGGTTGAGAGCCCATAGGTCCCTGAATTACATTATAATTTTATATCACATTATAAAATTTATATTATATATCACATTAGATTGAAATTGCATGCATACTTGCCTTTATTCTCCACTAGATTATAGCTCCTTGAAGTCTGGGGCAATTCTAGCATTTGGCACCTACTAAGTTCTCAGTATATGTTTGTTGAAAGCATGAATGAATGAATAAATTGCCAGATGTCTAGTAACAGCTTTGCGTTCACATTAATTGATAAAAAAGGAATTTCTACTGCAATAGATGAAAATGATTACATAATAAATGAAGCCCTAGTGTAGAGCACACAGCCAAATTAGCATTTGACTCATCTCTATTTATGTGGAATGGCACTTGCCAACTTCAGTACCACTTGGACAGTATATATTTTGTTAAAACATATAGAAGAATTATAAGCATGATGATGATCCTGGCTTTTTAAAACCTCATTATGGCCTTTCTAGCTTTCTACTAATTATTCTTATCTGGCTATAAGAACTATAAACCACATACATTCCTATACTTCATTTTAATTTTTAGCACTAGCCTGGGACCATTCTTCTTTTTTTTCTTCTTCGTCTTCATCTTTTTATAAGTTCGCAGGTCAGGTGGTTAAAACACAAAGCAATAGAGTGTATTGAAAAATGAATAGGTTCAGAAACTACAACTACAAACTATCTTAAAGGAAAACTCATTCTCTTTTCATTACCTTACACCTCTAGGTGCCAAAACTTGCATTTAATTTCAGGTTTTAAAGGAGATTTTATGTCTACCCATAATCTGTTCACATATAGTTTGCCCATGAGAGGTTAGCTATTTTCAGTTAAAATTGATCCACCTTTCCCAGATTTGTGGTTGAACAGCAAAGACTAAAGGACATGAATCTCTTAACAACTTCTGATGGGCTTGGACTATACATATCATGCTCATTTTAAGTGTGGAAAACATCTAAAAATATACTTTTTTGAGTTTCAGAGAAATCATATTTACAATTTCACAGAACAGAAAATGTTCAACTTAATTTGATGCTTAACACATAAAGTGTTATTTTCAAATCACAGAAATGTTTCTTGCATTCCAAAATATCTCTATAAGGCAGTATAATGATTCTAAGTAATTTTAATTAGGAGAAAGCTTACCAACAAAGACAAGTTATTTTTTTTTTATCTAAAATTAAGTTAGCAATGATTCAGTTCAAAAGCCAGATACCCTGAACAAAAATGTCTAATTCTTAAAAGTATTTATATGATCAGCAAAGAGTTCAGTTTAATTAATATTAGATGTAGAAAAAAGTTACAACTCCCTGTTGCTCTTCATAATTCATCACACTTTGTCTTTTTAAAAATTTTACTCACATACTCTAAACTTATTCTCCTCTGTGAATATAAAAGAGAGCTAGTACAATCTATTTCAGGCACTAAGTACATCTTTTGTAATCAAACACCTTGGGAATTAAAGAAAAATATGGGCAAGAAATTTTTCCATAATAGATAAAATGGGACTTTTATAATTTTATCCCCACCTCATATTAAGCTATATAAATTATATAACAAAACCTATAAAATAAATTTCATCCAATTTTTTTTATATATAATAGTGAATTTGACTGCTTTTCAAGAACATGAGGTATAACTTACAGCCTAGTCAAAATATATGTGCTACATTGGACACATTTCCTACTACGTGATACATTTTAGGTGATGAAAATCCAATCTGTATTTATAGAATGTGAGAATATATTTTTCTTATTTTTTAAGAATAAAGAAGGAGCTGATCTAATGTATTTGAATGGATATTGTAATAGTAAGGCAAAGTCAAAAAAGTTAGTTTACAAATATTCCTGACACAAAGTAGCTTTTAAATGTCCTTCCTTCTTCCTTCCTTCCTTTTGTTCATCTTTTCCTTTTCTTTTCTTTACCTTTTTCCTTCCTCAATTTCTTTTCCTTTCTCTTCCTTCCTCCCTTCCTCACCCTCTCTATCTCTCTCCCTCTTTCTTTCCTTTCTTCCTTTCCTCCTCTGCTCTTTCCTTCCTTCCATCCTTCCTTCCTTCCTTTCCCTTTCCCTCCCTCCCTCCCTCTCTCCCTCCCTCCTTCCTTCCTTCCTTCCTTTCACCAAACATCATAATTAGTTGAATTTTCGGAAAATATTTAAAAACCTAAAGTAAGATTTTTTTTTTCTCATTCTAACTGTAGTTTACTTTTGGTTGCTGCTCTGAGGAAGATTTTCAACAATGTCTTCAGAAGAAACAATTTTCTTGAGAACAAATAAACCAGTCTCTGCTGGAATTCACTTTTTATTATTTTTGCTTTTACAGAATATTCTGAAGCTCTTCCTGGTATCCCTACATCATATGCTGCTTTGCTAAGAATTAAGAAGAGTTCATCTTCATCTCTTTTGGGTTCAAAAACCAGACCACGGTACAGCAATCCTTCATTAGGAACACTGAGTGTTTCTTCCCCCAGCTGGAGAGGAGCAGCTCAGCATTATTATTCTCCCATCAATCTTTATCATTCCTCAGATGCCTTCAAACAAGATGGTAAGTATCAAAGAAAAAATGCACCTTTAAAAAGGAGGCAGGAGAGTTTTCAAGAACTGAAGTGAGCTGGTGGAAAATTGGAGGATGTTAGGGGAGATATTGGTCATTGTGATTAGGCCATCTGTGTTTATTAACTAGTGCTTATTAAAGTTAGGCTCCTACCCTCTCACAGAGACTGAAATCTATGTTTCTTGACGGTTACATTTTAAATGATCAGCTCCCAGGACATGAGATAGACATTACTCAGTTATAAGGTTGGAAAAATGGCAAGAGACTGGGAGATTATTTACATTTTAAAGGGCAGAGAAAGAATTTATATTTGCAAGTTTCTAAAGTAAATGCTCTAAGAAAAGGGAGGTTAAAAGACTATAGCCAAGAAGAAACCTGTCCAAAGTTTATCAAGCTTAAGGGAATGTTAAGGCCATCTTTATCATAAATTAGTTGTCTCTTCTAAACATCTTTAAATATTTTTATACATTTAATTTTTATTTAATTACAGTCAATATCAATCCTAATTTAGGATTAAGACTAAATATAGTCTTAGACTGAAAGTTAAAATATGAATTTGTGAAAGGTAATTTGACAATGAATAACAATAACTTTAAAACAGGCATATCCCTCAATCCAATTGTTTTATTTCTAGAAGTATATTCTGCATAAGAAAATAATGTACATGGCACAAAAAGATATATGTATATACTTATCATTACTTGTGAATTGAAAATATGAAATAATCTAAATGTCCAACACTAATATATTAGTTAAATTAATACTCTGCAGCTATTAGCATTATGGCTTGAATATTTTCTAGATGTTCTCTACTTTGTCATTTTGGGATATACCAACAAAACAATGCAAGATTAATTAACAGAGAGATATACTAGCACCTTATTATTACCAGGCTGTATGTCAGTCCCTTTTTTATAGCTTATCTCATTCAATTTCCTCAACAAATATGTGAGGTCAATATTATCACTGCCTTATACAGAGCTGGAAACTCATGGGCAGATAAGTGTATTTTACAAGGTCACACTACTAATAAGTAGCATAGCCAATTTTCATTCATATATCTACTGATTTAAAGACCAGTATACTTTGTGCTACATTCAATTGTGACTGATGAAGGACTAAACATTAAAAGATACATTGTATAAGAACTAAACTATTTGGAAAGATTCTCAAAATATAAAATAAGGTTGTGGTGACAAGCACAGCAAACTTACTCTTTATGGTTATACCAGTTGTTGCCATGTAGAGCATGATCTCATAGTGTTGACATTTAAATGTTATTTATGTATGTATGGTGCTAGCACCTGTTTTGTTTTTCAAACTATTTATGCTTAGTATAAGTTAAAATTTTTCATTACATTGAATTTAATGTCAGACTCAATCAGGCAGAAACATGTTAGAATTCATGTTCTTTAGGCATTATTATTTTATGGTAGAATATTATATTAAGGTAGAATATATTGAGTAATCAGAATTGTGATCTCCTCTTTATTTGGTATAATTTTCTATCAACTAGCATTCTATTCCTTTGTCCTCTTATGTCAAATGGAAGTTAAGATAGTCACAACAATAAATAAAACGTAGCTAGAAAATATAAATTAAAACACATGAAAATCATGAAAACTAAATACTGGGACATAAGATAGAGCCAGGTATGAGACTAATTTAAAGTGCTGTTAATGCCTATATACTGGCTGTGGGCTGGTCTCATTTTGGATAATTAATAGTAAAACAAGAAAGTCTGATTATATATACATTTCCTAGTGTTTCAAGCATTTAAGTGGAATAGTTTTTCAGTAAAAGCACAACTATATGACACTAAGATCAGAACAATTTTTCTGGAGGGTCCTTATTAAGAGTTTATTTTTTGATATAATGGCCAGTGACATGAACATTACTTTCACTGTATACATAATAATGAATTTCATCTGTTTCAATGAAGGCAGATGAAACTCAAACAGCAGGAATGAGAAGCAATTCTCTAAAACTGTGCTCCTCAATCTTTATAACTAAATTGCTTATTAAATATAGATCACCTTTGGAAAATCTGGGATGGGACAAGATAATCTCATCAATTAAAAGCTCCCAGGTGATGCCATTGATGCTGGTCTGTGGATTATACTTTGAGTAGCATGGCTCTAGGCTGGGCATCAATTTAGTACGATATAAATCCTCTACTGATTTAGTTTAATCCATATTTTAGAGTATCAGGAAGAATGGATATTCTGAGTATTTTTCAAGTAATCTTCCATAACTATTGTTTTCTCATCTGAGCATTTGATAAATCTTGGCTAGATGTGACTTTGATTTCGTTCTCTCTGACAGGAGTCTGACATATGGCTTTTGTCAGGTAATTCCCTTTAGCCTTAATAGAGAGTAAAGCTGAGGTTGACATGCTCTTGTGAAAAATGAGAAAACTAACAGAGCCTGAATAGAAAGTCATCCTACTCCCGCTCAGAGTTAAGCCAAGAAGTACCCCAGATGGAGCAAAGATTTTTCTGAGAAATGTAAAAACCCACTTTTGCAGAGCAATTTGGAGAAGCAATTTCACTTCTGGATAAATAACTAGAGAAACTCTTCAACACATGTACAAGGAAATAAAAAGTATGTCACTGCAATATATGTTCAATAGCAAAAATTGGAAACAACTCGATGTCCATCAGAAGGGGAATGGATACATACATTATAGATATTTTATTCAAAGGAAACCTAAAACTGTTGAAGTGAATGGGCTGTATCTTTGTGAAACAAAATGGGGTATACACCAAAATATAATTGTGAGTAGGGAAGATAGGTTACAGAATATCATATATAAAATTATTTATGTAACATAATTAAAAATGATATATACTATTTATAGATACATATATATGCTATACTTTTAACACATGAACTTGAGACAGCAAGTTGAGCATAGTGCTTATAGTGCTTACCTAAGAGGCCAAAGGAAAACGAAAGCAGGAAAATAATGTCAGGAGAGGGAAGACGGATGATCTTAACTTGTGATATTTTATTTCTAAAAGAAAATATCTGAAACAAATATGATAATACCTCTAATAGATAGACACTAAAATGGCTCACAATGATTCTCACCTTTTGGTATTTATAGTAATCTCTCCTCTTATCTGTGGTCCAAAGCTATGAGCCTGCTTCTGAAGAATAGATTATGAAAAAAGTAATGGGATATGATGTCCAACAGTGAATTACAAAAGATCCTGGCTTCCATCGTCTTTGTCATCTTTTGCTCTCTGGTTTGCTCATGCTGATGAAAGTCAGCTCATGTTGAGAATTGCCCTATTGATAAACCCACTGAGAATGGCCTCTGACCAACAGCCCATGAGAAATTAAGGCACTTAGTAAAACAACCCTCAGGAACTGAATCCTATCAATACTTATGTGAGTGAGTTTGCAAGTAGATCTGTACCAATTTGAGCTTAAGGGTGAGACTCCTGCCCCACCTTGGAAAAGATGCAGAGCCTGGGAACCTGGTTAAGCCACATCTGGTTTGTTGACCCATGGAGACTGAGATAATAAACACATAATCTTTGTTCAATTTGTGGGTATCCTATTATTCTCACTATAATTCTATATTTTTTACAGAAAATTCTTCTTATAATTTTATAGTTTTAAAGGTGCTTTTATATGTTTCTTCTATTTTAATTTTCTGTGGCATCTTGTGACCATCTCATCAGGTTGGTATTCTTTTCTAGGAAGCCAATTCCTATGTTCAGACAAGATTTGTTTATTCAGGTCTTGATTATTCATTCTTCTTTGCTCGCCTTTATATTCTGTGCAAGGCCTACTTTTAGTTCTATTTGTTACATTAACAGATGCTGCAGAGAAAATCTGAAAAAAGAAAGACAAAAATTGAAAGTAGAAGAGATAAAATTCCAATCTTTCCACACTATTTTACTTGTTAATAGTTTATATTAATTGCATTCTAAACTATTCTTTCTTTTACAAATTATCAAATATTTAAAACTAAAGGAAATAAATTCATAAATGTCTCTTGTAACTATATATCAGCTTTATATTTAAATATTTAAATATTTTAAAATATTTTAATATTCTCCAATCTTGCTTCAGTGGGGTATTTTCGACATAAACTTTGTTGAGAGCTGCTGAGTATTTTGCTCAGATGTCATTTCCCCTTTTCCAGTGTTAGAGGAACCACTATATTAATTTTGTCATTCATGTGCATGTATTATCTCTATATGTGTCTAAGCCTATAAACTATATGTACTAATCTTTTAAAATTTTATATAAATGATATTGCATATAAAATACATGACCCACCTTTTCTGCATCAACATCATACTTCTGAGACTCATCTATCTTGATATTTGTAGGTCTAAGTTCATTTCATTTCCTACAAAACTATATTATAATTTATCTATTCTCTTTATGTAGACAGGTTATTTCTAATTTTCTGCTGTTACAGTGTCAAATGAGTGGGTTTTTCATTTTATTTTTTGCGTGACTCAATGGCAATTATGTTATATGTGTTTTAGGAGTGCAATTTTTATATTAAAGGATTGTAGCTTTTCTAGATATTGTCAAATTGACTTCCAAAGTGATTGACACTTCTACCAACATTGTGTGAGTGTTCACAGTTCTTCACATTGTCACCAATATATGATTTTTTACCAGTATCTTGAATACGGTATGCTATTTCATTGTGGTTTAATTTGCACTTCTTTGAACAATGAGGTTGAAATTTTACTACGTGTATATTGAATATTCTGTTTTTCTTTTATGCATATTACTTATTCACATATGTTGACTATTTTTTATTCAGATATTTGTCTTTTTATTCATCTGTACAATTTACAGAATGATGTTCAGTCTGGGTTGATACATTACAAATATCCTCTCTTAACACTTGGGTTGTCTTTTTACTTTGTCAATAGTATCTTTTGTGGGATAGAAGTTTTTGATTTTAACATAGAAATAGCAATACCTTCCTTTGTTGTCTGTGCTTTTTGTATTTT